TCTTGTACTTTACTTTAGTCATTAACTTTATTTCAAAGCATTTGTAACTATAATTTTCACTTTCAAGTACATATATATTGCACTAAGTCGATTTTTGGTGGATCATTTAAAATCTTAAAATTCTGGAGAAAGAAAATCAAATCTTTAAAATTTAAATTGAAGCATAATCTCAAGATACTGTAAAGTTATAAAACATAATAAAAACCTATAATCATACTAATAAAAATATTTCTTTATAAACACAGGACATGTTTTACATCGGCTGCAGTGAAGGTATTCATGGGAATAGCTCTGTCTCCACATAACTCTCGGACATAGCTCTCGGGCCATTTCATTCTCTCCTTCAGTCACACCTGTGAGTTATGGTTATGTACAGATGAAAACTCATGAATCTCTTCAATGCAGCCAAACTGAGTATTAAACTTGTCATTACAAACCAAAGACTGGTGATAATTATAACACATGAAATCTTTAAAAAAGCCATAAGTATAAATCTCTATGGTACATATAAGGCACAATGTACAAGTTAATTATTTCTCAATTTGAGCAAGAAATATCTACATTCCTTCATAGCACCATGTGAAATCAGACAAACACTGAAACACAAATTGATAACTGAACATGGAAGACGAGACAGAGAAAATTCAGAATCATTTACAAGCTCAAAATACATACACCATGTACACCTCCACTTATAATTCAGTAAAAAGCAATTTGTTCTGTAACAAACAAAAATAAAAGATAAAGAACTGCTGCAAACTCTTGCTTCACCTGGATTCGGTGGCTTTAATACTGCTGATAGGACAGTGAGTTTTATGACTTCATTACTGGCGTGTACACACTCGGCACCGACTGATTCTAGATTCCTGATTGCCAGCCTTTAATGTCTCTGGTCTCGGAGTACGGAACTCATCAAATGACGTCAGTGTCGCCATCCAGAAGCTGAATGAGGTTGCGTAATGGTTGCACCGTCCGTTGCCGTGGCACTCGATGAATGGTGTGGCACGGAAGTCCTCCAGACAAGATCCGGGTGACTCTAATGCCTGGCCAGCACCCTGTCCTCCCGCTCCAGACGACTGGAATAGAAAAAAAAGGTTCTCAACAATTCTTTTACAGTGTTACAGTGTTTTCCTCTATTACATCTACCATATTACCTCAGACACTTTAAGTACTAGTCATAATTCACCTTACTGTACTCTTTGTGCAATACACTTCGTATTATTTCTGACAAAATGTTATATTCAGTTTTAGCATATTAATTCTGTTCTAGAATACATTCATAGAGTATTCTCAAACACTTGTGTAGACAAAAAGTGTTCCCGACTGTCTGCAATTTCATGCCACAAAAATGCAGCACTGGCCATTTAAAGCTGTATATGCCAAAGAATGTAAAGCACACATGCATTGTACTAATTGACTCTAGTTTTATGCTTCATTTTGACAGACAGATAGATCCTTGTTAATATCGAGCAATGTTATCCTTAGTTAAAAATTCACAAATAATACAAGAAGTTGGGTATTTTTGGTTCATAAAAAGTACAGATATCTTACCATCATGAAGCTGTACCCTGTCCATAAACTGCGGAATCCAACGGGACAATTAGGAATAGAAGTGGCCTGGCTGTGAACAGCTACAACCTACAGTTAAAATAACAGTACTTATAAAAATAATATATATCGTATGTGCTTTTTTTCCCCTCATTTAAGATTTCAAAAATTAGCAACAATTTTTCTTAAGAATAACATTATATAAAATTCAAAAGTCTAATTACAGATTAAAATTTTGTTGGAAAAATACAACTGTGACTATTTTTCTGTTATATATTTATAGTCTGCTGTTGTTACCTCTGAGATGGCTTCACACACAGAGCAGCGACTGATGTACCGCTGGAGCGTGGAGCCCGTAATGGGGTTCATCATGGGCAGCATGGGCTCGCGCGTGGACAGCCAGTAACTGTAGTCATTCCTCCAGGCCACATTACACACATTATTGATGTTACAGAACATGAATGGCATCGTGCTGAATCTCCTCAGACAGCTACCAGAGGTTCCTATCAGCATAAAGCAGATACAGTTAAAGTTTGGTCGATCAAACACTGATATCTTGAATAAATCAAAGCCATTTGGAACTCCCAACACTTATTCTCAAAATATTTTATATTTGGTATCTTGAATCTTTGAATGTTTTTTCTCTGTACAGGCAAGTATGATATAAGATTTGACTGTAGCTCATATCATTTCTCATTCATATGATCTTCAAAGTATGCTCGGTTACATTGTATGATCCTGACTTACCTAGATCCTGTCCATGGCTTCTGCCATTGCCAATGATATGAACCAGGGAATAGCCGTCCCAGAGTTTGACTGTTCCAGCTGGACACTGAGGTACCACTGTGGTCTGACTATGTCTGTAGAGAAATACAGGGTTTATGTATGAGAGCTGTACCGTGAATATAGGGAATGGTCACAACATAGAGAGTTCTGTTTCACAATCTTAGGTCAATACCATAAAACGTATTTAAAAAGAGGTAAAAGTAGTACATTTAGAACCAGAAGTCTCTGTCGAGACTGAAGCTCTACTGGTTTGAACTTATAGCAAAGGAAGAGAAGAGTACTTAAGCAGCTGGGATTTGAAACTTTACAACAGCAATATATAGAATAATGATCGTTGATAATAGGGCTGGGTATTGGCCCGAGATTTCGTATTGCGATATATTGCGATATTTTAAACTGTATTGCGATACGTATTGCAATATTTTCAATGTAATAAAAATGGCAATTTCTTACTATATTTATTTTAAAATTACATGCAGAATGTACATAACTATGATAAGTAACCAACACAAAAAAAAAATCTTGTTGATTTCCTTTAAGTTATACTCTGAAATGTTCCCCCAAAACAACTTCTGTCTTACTGTTTGGCTTAATAACAAACTTTCATAAGTCCATTTTTATATTTAATGACAAAATTCCTTAATCTAAGTATATTGCCAATATATCGATATTACAAAATCGTATTGCGATACGATATTTTTTGTCACTGTATTGCAATATATTGAAATATCGATATTATTGCCCAGCCCTAGTTGATAAAGTCTCTTTATGTTCTTAGTGTAGTCTACTTGTGTGCCAAGTTATATTGAAATAAGACCAAACTGTAGGAGGAGTAGCATTTTGAAACAATTTTACAGACATTTCAATTTTTAGTAACCACGGCAACACAGTTCATCAAAATTAAAATTTGATACACAGAATTACCGGTATGTATCTTAGTGTATTCTACTTGTGTGCCAAGTTATATTGAAATCAGACCAAAACTGTAGGAGGAGTAGCATTTTGAAACAATTTTACAGAAATTTCTATTTTTAGTAACCACGGCAACACCGTTCATCTAAATCAAAAACCGATACACAGATTTATGTATCTTAGTGTATTCTACTTGTGTGCCAAATTTTACTGAAATCAGACCAAAACTGTAGGAGGAGTAGCATTTTGAAAGAATCTCACAGAAATTTCTATTTTTAGTAACCACGGCAACACCGTTCATCGAAATCAAAAACCCATACACAGAATTATGTATCTTAGTGTATTCTACTTGTGTGCCAAGTTATACTGAAATCAGACCAAAACTGTAGGAGGAGTAGCATTTTGAAAGAATTTCACAGAAATTTCTATTTTTAGTAACCACGGCAACACCGTTCATCGAAATCAAAAACCCATATACAGAATTATGTATCTTAGTGTATTCTACTTGTGTGCCAAGTTATACTGAAATCAGACCAAAACTGTAGGAGGAGTAGCATTTTGAAAGAATTTCACAGAAATTTCTATTTTTAGTAACCACGGCAACACCGTTCATCGAAATCAAAAACCCATACACAGAATTATGTATCTTAGTGTAGTCTACTTGTGTGCCAAGTTATACTGAAATCAGACTAAAACTGTAGGAGGAGTAGCATTTTGAAAGAATTTCACAGAAATTTCTATTTTTAGTAACCACGGCAACACCGTTCATCAAAATCAAAAAACGATAAACAGAATTATGTATCTTAGTGTAGTCTACTTGTGTGCCAAGTTATATTGAAATTAGACCAAAACTGTAGGAGGAGTAGCATTTTGAAAAATTGTTTACAGACAGACGGACAGCTAGACAGCTAGACAGACGGACGGACGCCGGACGCATTACTATCGCATAAGCTCTTCTGGTCTCTGACCAGTAGAGCTAAAAAAATAGGAACAGATGCTGAATGTTTAATTACAGTTTTTACCTAGCAAAGTAGAGTCCATATCCTTCACCTGCTGGTCCGGAAATACCAGGAATTCCGGGGAATCCCTTTTGTCCAGGTACCCCTTGGCGACCCCGCTCTCCGGGAATGCCATTAAGTCCATCGATTCCTTGAGGCCCTTTACTTCCGGGTTCACCAACGTCTCCGTTACGCCCAGGTTCTCCATTCATTCCACGACTGCCCTCGTCCCCTGTTTATTCAAATCAAACTTGCATTGCGGTATGTTATACATTTGAATTTCTCTTATTTTCAAATTTGAAAAGCAATTATCTTGTAGATTTATGCTTAAATCCCAAATTTACCCTGCTGAGAATCAAGGAACACATTCTTTCTTTTTGTAAATATAATTTCATGCTGCTTCACATACTGTAGATTTCATAATTTACGGGAGTACTTAATATTGCAAAATAAATGCAAGATGTCAAATTGCAATATGTAAATTAACGAATTGATTAACTGTTGATCTAGAATTCTGCATGTACTTCAACATAATAATATAAAAGCATCAAAGTTTATTTCACAATAGCTGCTTTTTTTGAAAGTATGCAATTATAAATTCCTTGCATATACAGTGGACCTTCAGATATCCGGACGTCAGATATCCGGATGCTTCAGTATCCGAACGACTTTTCATCGGAATGGATTTTTAAAACGTTATTTAGTCTAGTTTAACTCGTAATTCAGATATCCAGACGCTTCACATATCCGGACAAATTGACTAGGAACCAAAGCCTTCCAGATAAATGAGGCTCCACTGTAATATGCAATCAAAAGAATTCAATTTTCCTCTGTTTTGATTCTTATTTCGCGCTGTCATTCCCTTGCCCAGTCTTAGCCCATACCACAATCCTCTTTAAATCTTGAACTCACCTCGTTCCCCAATCAGTCCATTCAGTCCTGGATTTCCATCAAATCCCTGACTTCCTTTGTCTCCCTTTTGCCAAGGCAGAGGTTCAATGATTGGAGCTATTCCTGGATCTCCAGGGGGCCCGGTAAGTCCTGAAGGAGAGAGGTTGTATTGTTTTCTTCAGAATTTCTCGATTAGTGTCAGCTTAGAGGTTTTAAGTACAGTTAAATACATTCCGAGTTTTTTCTTTGGGAGGGGTATGATATGATTTTATAACTCTAAACAACGTATTTCAATAACTAAAATGTATGGAATTTAATCAAGCATTCACAACAGATGTCTGTTTTTAGAGATTTATTTATGCTATTTCGCAATTTATGCCGTGAGGACTCTGGTTTTATCTCATGATAGACCTCGAACTTATGAAAAACTTATATAAAAAAATCTTCTCATTACCTAATGGAACCTATTCAAAGAAGGTTCGTAATTATTTAAATTTATCCATTACAAACAAGAAGAAGGTGCTTTTCAAGGTCGGGAGGGTACCTACCTGTTTCACCCCTCTCTCCTTTCGCCCCTCTAGGTCCATTAAATCCCTCATCACCAGGCAATCCCCGACGTCCGATTTCTCCAGGATACCCCGCATCTCCTGTCGGTCCTTTTTCTCCGGGTATACCGTCCCGACCAACCTCTCCCTGAAGTTTATAAAATAACCCCAAATTAAGATCTAATCCTCATAGAATCATCAAAAAAAATATATTTGGAAATGTGAATCAAAGCTATTGTAAACAATAAAAATGTTTTGTTTTTTTTTGTTTTTTAATGTGGAAAATTAACAGTTGCAGAAAAATACACTCACGTAGGAGATTATGTACTTGTAATATTTATTTATTTTTTTTTGACCTTGAATCCTATAAATCCCCTGTCTCCCACAGTTCCCTCTTCTCCAGGAAATCCCGGGAATCCTTGGTCTCCCTTCGGTCCAGGAAGTCCACTTAATCCTTGGTTTCCAGGGAAACCCTTCTGTCCAACACGGCCTAGAAAAGGGTGAACAATATTTAATTTACAGAAACATTAACAAAACATTTAACAAAAACTTCAGTTGTTGTGATCTGATTCTTACCACTTTCTTGCCACTCCTTCACTTCTTACCTCGTTCTCCAGGGAACCCATCCTCTCCTCTTTCACCCTTGAATCCTGGGAAACCAAACTGGTCCTCTCCCCTCATTCCTTTCAAGCCTGGGAATCCTGGAAGTCCGTTATCTCCAGGGAAGCCCTTGTCACCCGGAAGACCTGGTGCACCAGGCAGGCCTGGTTGACCTGGTTCCCCAACAAGACCTAGAGAAAGCAAAAGGTCAAATGTCAAGGTCATTTCATTATTTCACCCTTATTTAACGGATAAAACCATCTCTATTAAAATTAAATATATCATCATCAACGATGATAACTTCTTTGAAGTTTGTGAATAAATAAAGTCTTAAATATGGTTTTAAAGAGACTGAACACATTAAAAATTCCAACCTATGACTGTAATTATCAACTTTGATTCCATGTTATAAATGTTTGCAGTTTAGTATAAATGAACAATAAAGCTATCACATATCAAGGCCTCACCAAAGGCATCTTCTCCAGGCAGTCCAGGACGACCAATAAATCCAAAGTCACCTGCAACACAGATAGTTTTGTTTAAAATTTTGAAAAAATTTACAGGTCTAATTTGTATGTATGACTCTGAGCAATACTGACCAATTTTATTAGCATTCAACAATTGCTTGATAACAGTTCAAACATTTGAGCTTGTTGTATTATAATCCCCCCACATACCTGGTTGTCCCTTTCTACCGGGTCGGCCCACTCTACCCTCTTCTCCCGGAACACCTGACTCTCCTGGAAGTCCATTGAGTCCAAACAGTCCATCTTCTCCTCTCATCCCCGGGAATCCGGGCAGTCCGTTCTGGCCCTCCTCTCCTTCAGCCCCCTTAGGTCCATTTAGTCCCGGGCGACCCGGAGCCCCGTCAAATCCCCGATCCCCAGGGGCACCTGTCAGACCCCGCTCTCCTGGGATTCCAAACAGACCAGGCTCCCCGCGGAGTCCTGGGAATCCATCAGCTCCTGGCAACCCAGTGACACCCTACAAGTAAAATCAACATATACAGTATGATAATTTATATATTCGAGATGACTGCTTTTCTTTGCAGGATATTATAAAGATACATCATGCTGGGATGCACTCTCATGAAATATCTCGTACCTTTGTTTAAGCCAATATAAACATGAGTGTATAGAAATTTACGGTTTTAATTACAGTTTATTTGTGGTTTCAAGAGCTTATCTAGGTATCTCCAAATTTTAAATATGTACTTCATCATTATTTATTGACAGCAAACAATGTAAAATCAAAAATAAGGATTCTCTTTTTGAAGTGGCAGAGCTACTTTTATAATTGTTATATGTCATGCCCCATGAGGCCTAATTTGGAAATAAATTCTATTCTATACTATACTGTTAAATCCATGCAAATTTAAAATTTGTTGCTACATTAAAACACTAGATGAAATCAAATGAATATATCTTTTTGAAGCTGAAGATTTAGGGGAAAACTTAATTAATTGAAGAAGAGGCCAAGAACAATACAAAGAGAGTATTTGGGGATGTGTATAGGTACCATGGGATGGACCATAAAGAAGCTGAAATTGACTGGTGTATCACCTGGAGTTATCTATATCCCTGCCTGGGGTGTAAACTTACCCTCTCTCCAGGGAACCCATCAAGACCAGGAACTCCATTTTCTCCAGGTTCTCCTTTGAATCCAGGTACTCCAGTTCTTCCCTGCTCACCCGGAATTCCAGGTAACCCAATAACACCACGCTCCCCATCTAGACCTACAATACACACATGTCAACAGTACAGACTTAATTTTATTTTTTCATTTGTTTTTTTTAACTTTTTTCTGAAATAGTCTGATCTGAACTAATCTAATTCGAATATGTGTTTTTATTTAGATTGAGAATGAAAGAATTTCTATACCCTACTTTGTTGTTTTTATATTTTTTTCCAGGGGGTAAATAGCTGGTTACATGTTGAAAAATGAAAAAAAAAATAAACATGTATAATAAACCCTTCATTTATTGGTATACCTTTGAATAATGTGATTTTTTTAATTACCCCCCCCCCCCCTTAAATAAAATCATTTTTCATTAAGTATAAATATAGAGGATCTTCAATCTGTAATACATTTAAATGCAATTTTCCTTTTGTATTTTTAAAATGTTTCAATTGTTTCAATACTGAAAATCACATATCTCCTCTTACAATTGTATCATAACCCCACGTATACTAGTATTATGGTGAAATATGTGCCTCAGAAAAAATGTTACCGCAGTATTGCTGTCATTCAACAATTTCTATGACCCATGTCAATAATTTTCTACTAAATGTCCTCAAATGACCTATCTCTATGCTTGACGAAACCTCATAAACCATCTTCTAATGAATCAATTCATTTGACATGTGATATTTACAACATTTTAGGAGAGGAATGGGCATTTTTTCTTTAGAATAATTCTTTGTGCCGAGTAAAATATTCAAAAATTTTTTTTTACCTGCAACAATCAAAAGAAAACTATGTTTAATAATATACTCCTTTCCATCAATGAACTATCCATTTCACTAAATCAACAAAATTTTAATGCGATTACCACTGTAATTTCAATTTGATTTCCTCTAGCTATTATCCTTCAGGAAGGTCAAGGCCTTATTTTTCCAAATAGGATTGTTTCCTGCACACAATAATGCACATTTCAATAATTAGCATTGACGGAAGCTATGGTGCGGTAAACAGGAAGTTGTTTGATACAAGTGTAATTTACTTGTGTCGCAGTATAGCAGCAGGATTTAATGATTTTACTGCAGATTTCTCCTTAGATAACACTGATGTGTGAAGTTCTGGGTGTCTGATGTTATGGCCTGGATTTATTAGCTTTTTATGCATGTGTGTTTACCACAAAAGTGAAAAACCTTGGAGGGTCTGTGTTAACATATAAACAAAAAAAAGCAGGGAACTATGAAGTACACTTTTCTTTTTATGCATTACATTCTTATTTTATTGTGTATATCTGATGTTTGCACTCAGAATGTTACCACGGGATCTTCTCCTACAGTTGGCAATAATGCTTGCAGTATAAAAGTTCTGGGAAAGAAGACAAAACAAAACTTTGAGAGTTTATTCAACAGTGGAAGCACAAAGATGGTAAGAATCCAAATGATTCTTCCGAACTCTACACAGAGTCCACTGACTGGGTTAGCAAACACAGACATATTCTTACCCCTTATCTGGACAAAAACCAAGGGTTCCGAGGGGAGAGGGTTGTTACTTCTTAAAGAGGAACTGGTTTCCCTACCATTCTCTGCCCTCAGCTATGGAGTGGAAAATTTCGCTGTGAATATTGCAGAAAATCCTCAAAACTGCTTTGCTCAAAACAACTTTAATGTTTCTCATCTAGTGTCACAGCTAAGGGATCTTGTTCTGGGAAACCTTGACCCCAATGACAGGTCGGAGACCCCTGAAGGTCAGAGGGTGTGTAACCAACACATTAGGGACGATGGTGGGGGGGTGGCAGAGTTCTACTTCGTCTGCTATTACAGGGATGACAACGGTAAAGTGGTATGCTCTGAACTCTCAGAGGACCTGTGGCTCTACGTCTTTTTTAGAATCATGGTGGTTATTAACATTCTGGTGGTGCTGTTCAGTCCCCTGCTGGTACCAGAGAGGTGGTACCGTGAGAAATATGTCAACTTAGTGTACACCCACATTCTCTCAGAACCATTCAAGATCAAAATCTTAAAATCGGCTGCAAATACAAATCGCTCAAAAAATTCAATCAAATTAAGGGACCTCCAGGCTGAACCAGACATGGAAAAATTTAAAGAATTGATTTCTGAACTGCAGGAGGACCATGAATATACAATCAAAATCTCTAAACTTTTATTTAAAATGAAGGCAGATCGTCTTATCCCAGCCAACTATGTCCCAGTGGGGGTATTCAAGACTCTGTATGACACAATAGTGAGGTGTCAAGTTCGGGAGCGTTACGCGGTAAAGGACTGCTGTGAGAGCAATATGTTTGGGACTTGTAAGCCGTGTCATGTAACTTATTACTGGTACCAGTGCCTGCAGAAATTCATGCTGATGTTGTTTCTTCCCCTCTTGGCTATTCCATGGATACTCCGACTTTACTTCTATTACCTCTACGAGGATACGCGTAGAAACCAGAAAACTCTGGCGGCAGAGTCCAGTAATCTGCTCCCCGACTACCCGGGAAATCTCCTGGCGTACTTTAACCCCATCCACGGAATATTCCTCTTCTGCTATGCTATCCTTGTTGTGGACATCCTCCTGTTCGGGGTCCTTCAGAAGAAAGTGACGGAGCGATCGCGCTATGTGATCAGGAGGTGCTTCAGGGACATGCGCGGGATGAACCGCTCTCAGGCGATTGGCTACTGCATATTCACTCTCCTCATACCAATAAAGAAATATGGCATATTTTTCCTCCTGATTGCCTGGATCTACTGGGCGTTGGCCATCCCTGTTCTTGTGGTAGTCATTGCGTTTTACTTCATGCCTCTGGTTAACATAATGTGTCGTCTTCTGTTTAATTACTTAGAAATGCTGTTTCCAATTCAGAAGTGCTTTGGTCCTATTGTCAGAACATACGGACGCCTGTATAGAGAGGATTACAACATTCCCATTCCAATATTCGTTGAAGATGAAATAGGATCACCTAGGATACCTAAGTCTAAATGGGAAAAAGCAGTCAACATGGTGATAACATTCCTGCTTATTATATCCATTATCTCGTTTACAGTGTTAGCCCTGGAGTTTCTGATCATTGTAGTGGAGTATATCATCTACCAGCTGATTGGTCTGGTTCTAAACTGGGGCGTCTGGATGAAGTATGTGACCTTGATTCTTATTCTGTCTCTTTATGCCAGAGATAGTTTTGGGAGTGTAACTAACCGCTACTTGGTATTTAATGAAAAACTTATAGCTCATGTCAAATCAAAGGCTGAGGACGAAATTAAAACATACATAATGAAAGATCCCAATGAGCAGGAAAATAATGCTTTCCAGATAGCTGATGAGTATCAAGTAAACCATGTAAATGATGCCTCCACACAAGAATCTCAAACAAGGGAACATTTTGATGAGAAATTTGATTTGTCTGTACGAGACTCACAATTGGAGTGGCACATGCCCCGAGTTGTACTCTACATTGATAACACTGATGTTGCTTACATCACAAAGGAACTGTTCTTTAAGGTCTCCAGAATGCCCAATGCCGGATGTCCAGGCAGCCTCATGGCCAATCTGTTTACAGCCTTGTCTCATTTCGTCGTGATCCTCATTTTCCTGCTCTTCGTACTCTTAGTCATTGCAGCGTTTGGTGAGAGGTACCAAGTGTCTGGGGTAAACCAGACGGTGCTAGCGGCAGTCGGAGGAATTCTACCATTCGTCTTCCAAAAATTTCTCTTCAAGACACCCCCTGAATTTGATCTGGATACCAGCAGTCCAAAATTCCAAACAGCCTTTAATAACTTTATCCATGTGTACTCAGAGCATGCTTTTGTTTATGACATTGAGGCTGAGAAACCAGAGGAGTCCACAGACCAAACAGAAATAGATCTCTTGATTGAAACAAATGAGAAGAAAGACAGAAACTCCATGCTTTTGGCTTAGCAGGATGTCTGATATTCTGTTGTCTCAAAATTTCTTTGTATGGTGTTTGTAAGCAATATGTAAAGCAATCAATAACTTTTAATATTATTTGTGCAGATGTTACAAGCTGTTTATGGTATTTATGATTTTATGTCATGTACATTTAATCTAATCATTTTTTATTTAACTGTTATTCCTTTTTTGCTCTCAGCATACATTGGTCTTTAGATATAACTGATGTTCAAAAAAGATCAGAATAAAGATAATTGCTTTGTTAGGTTTTATTACAGATTGTTTGATTTGCATGTTTAAATAATGACAGGGAACCAGAGCTCTTTAGCATCACAATCTTCAGCTTGTATTCTCATCAAATATCTACATAGTATAGGTTAGACAGTTAGAACCATAGAATCATTGACATATCAAATTTAAATTTCTCAACATTTAAAATGCAGCCATAAATCTTTCATTATCTTCTTGTATTTAAATTTGAATACAATTAATGAAACTGAGCAAACTTTTTAAATGCATTTTGTAATAAAGGATGAAAAATATAGTTTTCTTCTTAATTCACTATTATATGACTGATATACATACAGACATTGCACAATAAATCAGATCTGAATTATTTTTAGTACCTGGTCTCTTGAACCACCTGCTTTGAATGCCCTTATATGACTTTTTTTTTTAATATTAGAAAATCCATTAAAATTAGTTCCTACAGCAATTACATTTTGATCTGTCCAAGAAATTCATACATTTAAAGTTTTTTTAATTATGTTAAAGAAAGTGCCCCGCCACAGCATTTAAATTTTAATAATCATAAATTGGTTAGGAAGGAAAATCAGGTAGCCTTGATTAACAGATTTGATTGACACAGATTTCAATGATTTAATTTCCATTTCTTATCATACATCTCTAAGAGACTTGCAGTGTAGGGATTGATTATAACAAATACATCATATAACTCTAAACTGGTTGTGTTAGAGCATAACAAATATCCATCTGCAGCTTACTTAAACTTAAATTATTTATTGCACATTTTATGAAATAATAGAAATGCTACAGTTTAATAAAAAAAAAAATCAAACATAAATTATATTTTCTTCAGACTATAAAATTATAAGTGAGACATGACTGCAATTTGTTGCAAATATATATAAAATTGAAACATATATTTTTTCTCAATGAACACATGTATATTAATAATTAGTTTTAATTATATTATACAATACTAATTTAGTTTTAATCATACACTAAAACATAAATTTGTTTTAATTACATTACACCAATTGGAAGATCTTTATTGGACTAGCCATCAAGAACTCTTAATTAACACAAGCAACTATGAGGCCATTTCTTTTTTAACTCTCAAGAGATAAAAAGATAACAGACACACAGATCTAGAGATGGTCTTAGCTCCTGACAATAAACTCATTAATTTCTCTCTAATTTGACATCTTCTTGACCAGTGCTTGATAATTATGCCCATGGGACAAACTGAATTCCTCTCAAAGCATAATCATTTGTTACAGATTGCTGTAAAGTATATAATGAAAAAATAAGTTTTTACTAAATTTAACATCTTTTAATAAGGATACAACTATATTTTTACATTTTCTAGGATTATGAAGTTTGAAATTTAAAAGACTTAGTTTTTTGAAAAAATTCATTTAAATTAAAGGTCACAGTGACCTTGAAATAGGCCGCGACACACCTTCTACCTTAGCTGTATACTTTTGCCAAGTTTTTAGGTCTGTTAGTTTTCTAGTTATGAGCCGGACAGGATTTTTCCATATTTGGCTATAGCATCTTTATTAAAGGTCAGAGTGACCTATAACACACCTTCTACCCAAGATGTATCAGCTGACAAAGTTTGGTAACTCTAGGCCTTATAGTATTAAAGTTATGAGCCGGACACGAGAAAAGCTAACAGACGGACAGACAGACAGACAGACAGACGGACGGACACGAAGCCTATAACATAATACGTCCCGTCTTAAGACGGGCGTATAAAAAGCTTGCAGATTATGAAAATTAAATGAATTAACTATAAAGTATACAAGGGCTGACCAGAAAGAGTAGATAAATATGGGGAGGTTATGTATTATGCAGTCATCGTCATTAGTATGTCATATTCAAAATCACTTTATGAGGGAAAAATCTACTGATTAAAAACATGTTGTTCAACAAAAATCACAAAATCACCATAGAAGTTTAATGATCAGGTTATTGTTTATAATATAGGAACTGCAACTCGAAAAAAACAAACTCAAGGGTGAGGAAGTTATTTTATTATCGACTTGCTCGTCAAGGTTATTCTTCACACAAAATTAAACAATCAGACATAGTCTTTTTGTAGTTAACTTTGTAACTAAGACTAAAAGAACTGAAAAACTAGAGGCCCATGGGCTAAAGTGCTCAACTGAGGGACTTTGGCCCTGCTGTTCTTCAGCAGACTCTCCCCTATGTAATACTTTTTGTCCCCCCCTCCTTACCCCAGGAGGGTCACAATTTTTACAATTTGTAATCTACATTATGCTTTCAGCTGAGGTGAGCTAAAAATCAAAACATTTGAGATCCATGTTCATGCATTTTAACGATTATCATTCCTTTTTACTTTTGAACTAGGTTCTAAATTCTTATTTTATAATTATCTAAAATATGTGTAAGCAAGCTTTTTTATCTGACATAAAATTCACAGCAAAAAGGGGGCCATTGCAGCTGTATCCCCCCCCCCCCAACATCTACCAATTATACCTCTTTTATAATTGAAAATTTTCTTGAAAGGCAAGTTGCCAAAATCCCCTTCCCTCCCCCTCCCCATCCCCTATATATTTTTTTACCATGCAGTCAAAGGAAGGTTTTATAGTAAGTAGTGTATGAATTGGATACTGACAGAAGTTGAGAGTTTCTTACCTGGAATTCCTCCCAGACCTCGCTCTCCCTCTTCACCCTTCACTCCATTCAACCCCGGGAAGCCATCCGATCCAGGCAAGCCATTCCGTCCTACAATTCAAATTACATCACACTACATTGTACATGTAGTATTTAAATTTACGCCTATCATTAAGCCATATCAATACAGAAAACTAGTCAAAATACACTTAATCATAAACTGCCAGCCAAGCATGCAGAATTTCTAAGTAATGTCTCTGGACTGTAGATTATATGTACATGTATTTTCTACATTACATCTTGCAGAAATCTAAGAGTCTTGGGGATTTGATAGGGGGTACTTTTAGCAGAATATGTAACAACTGCTTCAATTCATCCATGTTTAAAAATTTGTATGAAGTTTATAACCCATCCTGATTTTTACAATGTCAGAGGAGATCAAAACATCCTGGTTTAGATCAGTTACATAGGATATCTCTCTTGGTAAACAGTTTAATACCACTGCTACATTGATCATAACATCCTGGCTTAGATCTCCCTGTTTTTGTAAACAGTTTAACACCACTGCTACATTTACCTTGTTCTCCTTTAATGGAAACCCCCACCTCTCCACGTTCTCCCTTCAGACCAGGGAACCCACTCTGTCCAGGCCGCCCCACCGTCCCATCTTCACCTGTAATTAAAAATAGAAGCACGGTAATTACTGTCTATTAGTATACAGCAGCAAATATAACTTGGTGTTTCAAAGTTATTTCCCCTACATTCTGATCCAATCATATTATTTTTTTTATACAAAAACAGCTGACTAACTAGTAATGCAAGCATTCTTATCCATTTAATTTTTTCTGTGACTTCTCTCTTCATTTTCCAGATTAATTAACATTCAATAAATGACTTAGTTTTCTTGGTTTTCTTGTTCACCTGAGAATGAACACATACCTGGAAATCCATTGTCTCCTGTGATTCCAGGTAAACCTGGCAGACCAGGTTGACCTCTGTCGCCTTCGACCCCAGGGAATCCGACCTCTCCAGGTTCTCCATTGAGTCCCGGGCGTCCAAATGCTCCGGGAAATCCTGGAAGTCCAGATTCTCCGATCTCTCCTATTAAAGGTTATAGACAGTATAAGTATCCTCATAATCTTTATAGAGTAATTACGGCCTGAATATATATGTACATTACCAAAATATCATTTCTAGTCTTCAAAGTATTTGTAAAGAACAAAAAAGAAACTCAGAAAAATTAATGTCACTGTCTGGCAGCTCATAGCCAATGTAAAGGTTTTTACGAAAGTAAGTCACAGAAGGTAAACAGTATCCCAGGGACACAAACCTTTGACTCCTGGAATTCCTGGTTGTCCTGGCAGGCCAGGTTCTCCATTTCTTCCAGGGAATCCAGTCTCTCCCTTCATTCCAGGAAGTCCTAAAATTAGTACAGAAGTAAAATAAGAAGATCTTTGAAATCAGAACAGTCATGGAATTCAAGCATTTGACTCTTCTAAGACAGACATCTTAACATAGAGCCATAAATTTGTTGCATTTGCTATACACTGTAATAATCAAATTAACTACAAATTACTTAACTTACTATCTCCAAAGTCTTCACTTAAAACTTTTCAAATTAAAAGTTATGTACTCAAATATAGATAAAATGAAGTTTCACAAAAAAAATGAACACAGGGAACCAGAAATACGCTATACTTGCCATCCAAACCCGGTAATCCGTTTAACCCTGGCTCCCCTGGTTGACCCTCACGACCCGGAGCTCCGTTCAACCCATCTGCTCCGGGTATACCCTGATCACCCTTAAATCCGTCCCTTCCTGGTAACCCTGGCAACCCTGGGTCTCCGGGGGCACCAACTAAACCAATCTCTCCTAAAACCAATGAAACAGTGACAAATATATCAATCACCTCAAAATAGGAACAAAGAATGAGAATGGAATTAAAGCAACTCAGTAATACACTGAGCAATTAATTGATATTGGAATTAAATTCTAAATTAAAAACGTAATGGAATATTCTACCATTACTTAAATTAGAAACACTACGAAATATAACTTATAATTTTATAGCATTGGTTATGTTTTTTTTTCTTTTCTTTTTTTTTTCTTTTAAGAAACATAAATATGTCCTTCAACAAATTTAAGCAAAACAATACCTGGCTGTTCTTTATATACAAGGACACAATGGTTAATGCAAACTAAACTGTTCATGCGAATTAAGTTTTTCTTTCTGCAGTAAGGCTATTATGACATCAATTTCAAATCACGTCATATTATGCAGAGCAGACACATATTACATATCAATATAGTGTCTGCACATATTTTAGTGATTAACATCCTTTTTCCTTTGTTTAACACTCAAAAATAGCAGAGATACCTGTATCTAACCACCAATATGTAGCATATAACTTAATTCTACCATGACGTATGAATCAAATTTTAATCTGAATAAGCTTCTCTTAGCGTTCACACAGAGGTAATGCAAAGTAATTTAATTGGCAGTAAACTAATTTGAATTAAACTAGTTCCCATTAAATTTTCGTGTGAAGATGGTTCAAATTTAATTTGCAGTATTTAACGTTTTATTTGAATAAATTCTCCATGTGAACAGGGCATAAGATTTGTGTAGACTTTGATTGGATAGTTTACCTGGGAGACCGTCTTGTCCTCTGAATCCTTTAAGTCCAGGAAATCCCACAATGATACCTCCCTGCTCTCCTTTTAATCCAGGGAATCCAGGGGCTCCATAAGGACCACTCTCACCTGACAAGATTATCATAACAATGTCATATACATATTTTTGTGGGGATCAAACATTTTTCTTTGGGGCATACCGTATTTGGCCGAGTATAATACGCATTGATGTAAAATACGCACCCCCCTTTTTTTTCTGAAACTGGGGAAAACAAAATAATTGTGTATTATACGCAACAAAAAAATTTACCAAGCGAAAATCTGAACTTTAAAATCGCGGTAATTTGTTACGAAAATCGGCCGAGGATTAAGTGTCAAAAATTTACTGAACACACTTTTTTTTTTAAAATACACACTTTATAACTTCTCTTAATCCTGACATTCCATATCGCGGCAATCTGGAGAAAATTATTTATTCATTTATTTCAACAAAGTACAAGATTATATTGCGTAAAAGTATTAACAGATTTTTTTAAAGAATAGTTATGATTTTGAAATAATGCGTCGCCATATTCTTAGATGAAATAATTTTATTTCAACAAAGCAAGAGATAAAAGTTTTATCAGTTGTCATATTTAATTTTGGTTCTAGATAATCATGCTGAAAATTATCTGACAATATTTTAACAGGAAACGAAATTGAAACATCAAAGTATTTATTTCTTTAAGAAGACTACGATTTGTCCTCTTCTAAATCTTCGCGGATATCTTATTTTCTAAATGATACCACTTTTATTAAAAGTTTTAGCATAATTTATATTTCATTTGTCAACTCTCAATTATTTAAACAAGAGGCCGATAAGTATAAGATAAGGTAAAATTACATTTGTGTTTAATTATTTAAAGTGCCGTAATCAACACATGCTCACACATACGAAAGGTCAAAAAATTTCTATTTTTTAACAAAGAAAATAATCAAAGCAATTAACATGGCAGTAAATAATCAGTGCTGTAACTGTAAAAACATTGCTTTGTGAGTTATAATTTAATTGCCTGGAGGGGTGTTGATAGGTAATTATCATTTGACAAGCGCACGTGTGTCACAACATTGGCTTCCTTTCATTGGGACGTATGGAGGGGTGTTAAATATTGTTGCAGATTATCAATGAGTTATTTTAAACCTAAAATTAATATTTATTTTATTGTATTTCATGTAAAAAATTATTTATTACTTTGTCTGGCAGATAAGGTGCATGTGCACTATCATTACGGAAACACGTGACATAAGCATGAGTTAACATCTAAAAATAACATCGGTAATGGCGGCTTCCTCGGAGACAATCAACATGCAGCTCAAATTACTTTTAACTTACTTTTTCATGTTATTTTGGTATCAAAAGATTGTGAAAGTGACATTTTTAAGAAGCATACCTTCCAACAATAACTTTCCGAAGTTTAAACAAAAGAAATTGCATATTTCTCTAGGTAATACTATGGTATGTACGTATGATAGCCGTGCTTCACCTGAAAGAAAAACTTGTCAAAATCCCATTGTGGTGTAAAATACGCATCCCTTTCTCACAGTAATTTATTTTAGGAAAAAAGTGCGTATTGTATTCCCCGAAATACGGTATCTTTGGAATGAAACTGTTTGTTTTTATTTTTAAAAAAGTTTTTTTTTTTTAAAATATCACAAAATAATTGTTATTTAATGAAATTTTCAAATAAATTGTTTGTAGATCCAAGTAAAATCTTACACTAATATACAAACTTTACCTCTCATTCCTTTTGGCCCATCATATCCTGGTCTTCCTACACGGCCAATTTCTCCGGGGAATCCCCTTTCTCCCTCGCGGCCAGGGAATCCAGGTTCTCCCTGCGCCCCCTTCAGAAGCTCAGCAGGAGGTGCATCCAGTCCAGGAATACCCCGGTCTCCCTAGAAAATTCAAATACATTAAATATATGATCTTATTAAAAATGCACTGTTATGATTTCAAGATTGTCATAAATACAAAGACAAATTCTCAGGAAAACCAGATTTCTTGTGAACCATTTGTACTATAGATTTTTCACAGCAGAATCAGACTTACTGGTAGCCCTGGCAGTCCCACCACACCTGATTCACCTGGAACACCTGCTTGGCCAGGTAGACCAGGCAGTCCCGCAAACCCAGGCACTCCAGGGAATCCCTTGGGACCCACGCGACCCCTCTCCCCGGGAATTCCTGGTCGACCACTATCTCCTTTCATTCCAACACGTCCAACCTCACCAGGTATACCAACTAGGCCTGGCTCCCCTTTGATTCCTACAACATAGCTATCAGATTAATTCACTAATTCAAAAGATTTAGAATGTTTACATAAAGAGAAAATTAAAGTGAAGTTGCTAATAGTGATTTCCTGCTGAATATTTTTCTCATCAAGTTGCATGAATAAAGAGTTGTTAATTGGACATAACAAAAAAAATAAGGATATATTGATAAAGCAATTTCAGCTGTCCTTGGCATTTTCAATCTTTAATGAAGATTGTTTTTCTAATCTGATGAATGTTATATATTCCATTTTAAAATGTTCAAAACTGAATCTATTCAAACCTGCACATAATAATTTTTATTCAACATTAAATTTAATTTTTCTTTATACTTTGAAAGAAAATCAAGATAATACTATGGAAACATACAGGAAAGTTCTCCTAAATTCCTGATTCCCTGCAAGATTCAAATAATTATATGCAGTTTTTTCTATTCTTCTATTACCTTTATTTTTTGTGTGTGCTATTTATAGAATGCTAATTTTAGTAACTAGAAATCACCTGGCAATCCTGGGAATCCATCTCGGCCATCCTGTCCTGGAATTCCCATAACTCCAGGTTCTCCCTTTTTTCCCGGAGGAATGTTGATCCTAGAGGGTTCACCTTTGTCACCTGTACATTAAAAAAATTGTAAGAAAAACAATTCCAGTAATCTGTACACATAAATATGAAAGTATTGAAAAGACGCAATATGTCTTTTTCCAAAGGTAAGCATGAGAAAGCGTAAATTTGAATTTTAATTTGTTTTGGGTTTTTTCTTCTTTTGATGGAAATACCAAGATTACCATCTTATGGAACATAAAAAGAAAATATCATGCCCTCACTCCCTACTATTCTATATACTATCTCAGTAAAAAAATCCCTACCCTTTAATCCAGGTGGACCTTCATAACCATCCAGTCCGGGAAATCCCTTTGGTCCATGTGTGTTCAGGAATAAATCTTTTGACATAAGGCTGGCCATCTATATCCTTGTAAATATGCAAATCCAGGCCCTTGTTCCTGGAACACACATACCCTATATATAGCAACAAAAGTGGTTTAAAGATTACATCATTCTAAAAATAAGCACAAACAGATGGCCAAATATCTAAAAAGGTTTTATAACATTTAATTATTTCTAGTGTTGGCAACGAGTACCCGGTTAACAGAAATTCGGTTAGTACACCTGCTATTGGTTACTCGGAAAAAATAAATTCTACATAGTAAAGACATAGAAAATGAACGTTTTATAATTCAAATGTTTACTAACTTACACATTTCCCTAATTTTAGGTACCGTTAGACTTGATCTAGTGCATGGTTGTAGTGGATCAAATTGTTTTGATTAGTTTTCAAAGTTTATATAATTGATAGCTTTGATTGCTTGGGGTATACATATTTTGAAGGCCTGAGTTATAATTACCTCATTTGATAATTTAACGAGATGCCACCGCAGACATAATAAGCTTGGAGTTGTAACTAAATACAGCTGATTCAAAAAAATCACCTATTCGGAAACCCTGGACACTCCACATATTACATACATGTATGTAACTATTAATTATGGAGTATGTAAATAAATATTCTACTTGATTGCGACATATTTCGGGGTCTGAAAAAGAAAGTGTAAAATGATGATTGACTATGACGTATTTATTTGCCTTCTTCGTGTGTCGAATTCCGTATTAATTTTCTTTATTTTAAAATCGTAAATATATGGCGATATCGTATGTGTGTATTTTAAACATAATGTCCCTATATATGTGCATTACTACTAAAAGTATAGAATAATAATAGATATCTATACTTTTACTAAAAATAGTAACCGGGTACTCGAACGGAAGATGAAGCCAAACTGGTTACTAAAAAGGTTTTATAACACTAATTATTTCTATAAATTAACACAAGAAATATGTGTTTAAATGCAACAAAGTTTATTAATACTATGCAAAATATACTTTCTAAGATTCATTTATTATGTGCATTATCTTAACATGTTTTTCTATTTCAATAGATTGTGAACAAATATAGTTGAAAAATGTATGGCAAGAAGATTTTGTCAAATAACAAATTCTACTTCTTCAAAGCTAATGATACTTTTCAAATGAAACAATTTTTTATTGTCTTTTTTCCTTGAATTTCTTTTTACATGAAGCAACTCTTACCCTTTCTCCAGGTATCCCCGGGAATCCCTGGGGTCCTCGGGAACCAACAGCTCCTGGGGATCCTGCCCTGCCTACTGCCCCCCTGGGTCCCTGCTCACCAGGCTTTCCCTTCATTCTGAGGGTGGAGGGGACTTCCAAATCTCCAGGCTCACCTTTAGGTCCAACTCTTCCAATTTCTCCAGGGAAACCATCTGGACCCTGAAAGTTATATCTAGTTTTAATGGAGCTTCCAAAAATACAAAATTATGTAGGATCTATTATTATACCATGACTTGTACAAATAAAAATTAAATTTTGAATTTACCTGGTATGCCCTTTGACCAAGTATTCCGGGGAATGCCCTAGTTATACTTACTGGTATGCCCTTTTGACCAGGTATTCCCTAGTTATACTTGCTGGTATGCCCTTTTGGCCAAGTATTTTGGGTATGCCCTAGTTACACTTACTGGAATGCCCTTTTGACCAGGTATTCCAGGTATGCCCTAAGTTATACTTACTGGTATGCCCTTTTGACCAGGTATTCCCTAGTTACACTTACTGGTATGCCCTTTTGACCAGGTATTCCAGGTATGCCCTAAGTTATACTTACTGGTATGCCCTTTTGACCGGGTACTCTGGGTATGCCCTAGTTACACTTACTGGTATGCCCTTTTGACTAGGTATTCCCTAGTTACACTTACTGGTATGCCCTTTTGGCCAGCTATTCCGGGTATGCCCTGTTGACCTGGTTCTCCTGGTTGTCCTGGGAAACCTGGTTGACCTGGTCGTCCAGGAAGTCCGTCAAAACCAGGGTCGCCTGGATCTCCCCTAAAACCGGGCTCACCCCCAGGGCAAACCCCACAGTCATCTCCCCTTCTTCCTAAAATTAAAGAGATTTGGACTAGTCAGCCTTCAAAGAAAAGATTGCATGTCAAAAAAATTATATTAACTTTAGTACAAAACTGGTCAATTCATGGTGAAAAGGGATGGGTGCACATGTAAAGGTTTATGATCCACAATGCCTTGATATCAGGTTACATCCAAAAGACACACTTTTTTAACATTAACTCATTCTTTTTAGTGTTCTAAAAATCCACAAACATGACAATGCTATCATTTTGTTTAGATCTGCTATGATTTTACACAAGCCAAACAAAGCCAAGTGAAGGTTATGGGATAAAAATCAACTGAATGGCCTTCACAGGGCACTCAATGACTAGCTAACTGTGTGACAGTCAACAGCATTAAGGTAGGATTCTTCTCATATTTCTAATATTTAAAAATTAATGAAATTTTCACAGAATCAAGAAGACAATATCAGGAAGTGACAGTATCAGTGAAATTAAATTTGACCGTTTTATATTAGAGGCAAGGTCAGGTCAAGGTCGTTATCTTTTTCCTTGACATTAAAAATAATAATATACTGTTGCCAATCATGTGATACCTACTTCTATTTCAAAAGTTTAATGATTGTTCTTTTTGCATAAAAACATATTACTATATCAGGTCCATCGCATGATATTACCAAATTTACATAAATAATTTAACTTAACTGGATATTGGTTAATCCGAATTTTCTCTGTTTTCCTTAATTTTTTAGGATATTTTAGTTATTTTCATATGCTTCCTATATTTAACTTTGTCTTATTTTCACATATAATGAAGTAGTCTTATAAATGTACAAGATGATACAAAAACAAAAAGTTTTGATTGTTTACTAAGAGAGAAAAAATACTTTTTATGGATTTTTGGCTCAAATCTGCACTTTGATTGGAAGCGTTTAAAAGTTAATAAAGTTCTAGTTTGTTTGAAAAATCATATTTATTTGATATATTTTGAAAGATTAGTCCCTCATTATTAATCTAGCTTACATTTGAAAATTTCTTCAAGTCTTCGATTGTGTAAAAATTATAACTAAATTCATTGTTCTATTATAATTTTGAGAGGCAGAAAAGATGATATTTTCATACGCCACCATTCCGCCAAAAATATAGTCCCTGCTAGTTTTCAAACACAGTTTACTATTTTTATTTAAAGTTGTACAATTGTGATGAGGAAAGAAAAATATGGTCTTTTAAATTCCTTACACCTCAATATATAAGAATATAAGCAAATATACTTTGAATGTATCATCTAGTCAGAAACCAGAGAAGAATCCTACCTTAAGGATACACCAAAGGCTTCCAAAGGGCAAAATTTAATTTGCTTGTAATTCTTTTATTATCAAAGATAACATATTAAAAGTACATATCATTTGAAAGCTTGTTAAATGTACTATTTAATGATTCTAATATAAACTTTCATTTTTATCTTATTAACAAATTATTAATATTTTAATGTAAATATTAGTGCATTTATATTTTATATATCAACTTTTTTGTATTCCACCTTTCAAAGTCAAAATTTTGCCTCGATGTAGATTAAAGATTGAACTTTAAAACTGTATCTCAGATTTTTGATATATCCTCTTATTCAAAAGTTATATCAATTTGTCTTTCAATGTTACTGATTTATTAGCCAAATTCTACATTTCCCCCAATAAATGGAGAACTGAGCAAGATATCAAAAATCTGAGATACAATTTTTTGAACACATATTTGAGACGCATTCTGGCCAGTTTTCAGAGAAATTGGTCAATAAATGAGGGAGCTGAATCCTTTGAAATAATACCACCAACTGTCTGATCTTACTTTACAGGAAATCCAGTCAAAGCGCCCCCTAATAAAACCGTCCCGCTCAAAGCGTCCCCTGATTTGGTAAAAATGTCCCCTGATTTATGTCAAAGCGCCCCTTATAGAATTTTACGGTAAAATGATGTTACAAAACCGCCCCCAAATATTGGTCAAAGCATCTGATTTTTAAAACAATTTTATTAAAGCGCCCCTTATAGAATTTTACGGTAAAATGATTTAATGTAAATATTAGTGCCTAATATATTTTTACAAAGATATTACGGAATAAAACTGTTTTGTATTTATAATATTATCATTGTGTGGCAGTTACTTGAAAAATTTCTATAAGGGGGTGCTTTGACCAAAATCAGGGGACGTTTAGACCATTGCTTGGGGATCGACTCGAAAAGTTTTTTTTTCCTGTAAAAATATATAGGGGGCGCTTTGACCAAAATCAGGGGACGTTTTGACTAATATCAAGGGACGCTAAAATTGACCAATATTTGGCGGCGGAATTTTTTCTATAAAAATATGTTGGGGGCGCTTTGACCAAAATTAGGGGGCGCTTTGACTAAAATAGACCAATATTTGGGGGCGGTATTTTTTCTCTAAAAATATGTTAATGGGGCGCTTTGACCAAATAGGGGGCGCTTTGACTAAAAAATTTGACCAATATTTGGGGGCGGTATTTTTTTAAAAATATGTTAGGGGGGCGCTTTGACCAAAATCAGGGGGCACTTTGACTAAAATCAGGGGACGCTTTGACCAATATTTGGGGGGGGGTATTTTTTTCTATAAAAAATGTTAGGGGGCGCTTTGACCAAAATCAGGGGACGTTTTGACTAAAATCAGGGGACGCTTTGACTAAAATCAGGGGACGCTTTGACTAAAATTAGGGAACGCTTTGACCGGGACGTTTTTATTAGGGGGCGCTTTGACTGGCTCCCCTTTGGCTCCCCTTTAGAGTAGAGGGCAAAAACCCATTACACAACAAAGTCTGACAAAACTAGAAATATATGACACCTTGGAGATTCAGCTTTGGATATCTGTCACTTATCCATATTTCCTGTGCATATTCACAAGAATGGGAGGTTCCATTCTTTATTAAGGTGCTTTTAATGAAGTAAAATAGGTTCAATTCTGAATCAGAAAGATTTCCCGGCAAAATGGCAAAAGCCAAGCCCCACCTCCTATTTCACTGTCATTAGTGACCTGTTAGATCTTCTTCCCTAAATCTAGGGTCCCTGTAGTTTAATTACTGATAACCTCTGTGTTGCTAGTGAAGAATTCCCCAAGTGGTCACAGTGATTTATTGCTCCTTTCAGAAGCAGGCAGTTACAGACCAAATCAGAAGCTTCAATAATGGCACATTCACATGTTTTAGTGTTTATGTTTGATTATTGTTAAATAATTAGAAAACCATTTAATAATCAGGAAGAATTTTTCATGCATCATAAAGCAGTCATTAGGATTGTTTTCTTAGCCAAAAATCTCAAAATTGACAAAAATCTTGAAAAAAGCCTTTGGTGTATCCTAAAAATTCAAATTCAGTAAAAAAAACTTTAAGTGAATAATGTTAGCTTATTATTATGACCAAATTCTACATTTTCTTAAAGTTATCTATGAATATTTTCAAGATAAAAGACCCACCCCTTTCTCCTGGGATTCCATCTTGTCCATCCTCTCCAGGGACTCCTGGGTCTCCCTCCTCTCCGGGAAATCCTGATGGACCCATGGGACCGGTAACATCCAGACCGTCTCCAGGGATACCGGGAAATCCCTCAGGACCCGGTTCTCCCCGCAGACCAGGAAGTCCATCCAGACCGGGTCGTCCCACGCGCCCCTGTTCACCGGGGTATCCCTGAACCGTTTCTCCAAGTGGTCCCACATCTCCTTGAACTCCTTTTAATCCAGGTAATCCAGGCAATCCAGGGACTCCATCACGACCAAAGCCACCTGAGGATAAGAGTTTAGTTTACCTCAGATGAGCAAAAAAAATATTGAATGGCATTTGAAACAAGAGGCCCACGGGCCTTATAGGTCATCTTAGCATCATGTAACAACTTTCCAACAATTGAATTTGGTTCGTGGATTTTCAAGGAATTCATGCATTTTCACTATATAATCATTACAGCCTCCCCTAAACACCAGAACCCCTAACCCAGGGGCCATGAAATTCACAAATTTGGAAGAGGTATACTTCCTCATCATAACTATGTACCTAATTCATTGGTTCAATACCCAGGAGCAGAGAAAATTTTTAAAGAATTTGTCCATTTTCATTATCAATATAATTTTTTTTACGAAGTTCTAATCCACATTAAAGTCCTACAATGTTACCTTGATCTCCCTTCTCTCCTGGATAGGAGAATCCGACGGGTCCTCTTCTTCCAGGTATCCCATCAGGCCCTGGTAGACCAGGTGGACCATCTCGTCCCATTTGACCATCCGGACCGTCATTTCCTGTAAAACATACAAATAACTGTAAACGTATAACATTTAGCAATGTATTCCATTTAGCAATGTTGGTGGAAAGCAGAGTCTGCTAAATCAAGTACATCGCCAAATGTTTTGTATATCATACATTTATATTTAACACATTCAGTTAGCGCTAAATCAAATATACGCTAACTGAAAAATGAATTTTCGCCAAATACCATACACGTCTGATATAATGCATTTACAGTATTAGATCCATCATCTATCAGTGTTTCTAAGCATTAATTTGTATACCTATTATGCTAAGTATTTATTAATTTAATTTCTAACACATACCCGGGAATCCTGGAAGACCTTGTGGGCCAGGGTCACCAGGGCGACCTCTGGGTCCTGGACGACCTTGACCCCCACCATCTGGATCTCCTTCCGGACCCTGTAATTTTCCAAAATTGTTATCAAATATCTACATTATGTTTTTACATGTACCTGAATATCCACAACTAAATTGAAAACTAAAATTTAAAAGAATTTGGAAATGAAGACGGATGATTTTTTTTTCTTATTTTGGAAGTTGCTTCCAAAAGCCTGAATCAAAAGGTTTCAGCCAGGATTAAACCATTCTTAATTTCAGAAACTAATCACATGCAAATAAATATAATTTTAGAGAAAGTTTTACAACTTAAGATAATTTTGCTCTGACTCTAGATCTTATAAATGTATTTTATAAATGTATGATTTGACTGAACAATTATGATATTCATATTAAAATGATATCACTATTATTTTATGAATTATGAGTCTATGTGATTGTCACATGACTGCATTGCTATGGAAACCTACCGGATCTCCAACATCACCCCTCATTCCCTGAAAACCAGGGTCTCCTGTTCTGCCCTAAAAAACAGAGAAACTGTCTCATGATAGGTGACAACAAATACACAAGATTAACAAAGTGGAGAAAATTGTGACATAAGTTCCAATTTGGTTAAAAAATTTATTTTATGTCTCCAAAAATAGTGATAAAGCTAAAATTTTGCTTAATACTCTATCAGTTATTGCTTGTTACATCTCTGCCTTCTTAAAATGAAAAAGTAATTTTGATAACTGTATTTTCAGAGGGGAGAATCTTACTGTTTCTCCTGGTAATCCGTCATATCCTTGTCTCCCCTTTTCTCCCTGTTCTCCTTTAAAGCCATAAGGTCCTTGTGGGCCGTCCTTACCCCTCTTACCCTAAAAAGGTCAAAAAACAAATTATTACATCATCACTATATATAAATGTGACCAAAACTTTAAAAATACATGTACAAAAAAAGGTAAAATGATCCCTAATCCTAGCTTACCCTCATTCCTTGCATTCCTGGCATCCCAAATGGTCCTTTATCACCTGGCAAACCTGAAAAACCCTACAATCAAAATGCAGGACAATCAAAACCATGTTATAAATCAATTCTCTACTTCTTTCAATTTTTTTTTCTCAAAATATAGCTATATGATATGGAACTTAATGTTGTTACTGCAGATTATAACTGGTTCTTCAAGTTTATGATCATCAGTTAAAGGAATAATAAAAGAGAAATTGGATTGAGATGATAGAGAGGAACAGTAGGAAATATTCCACTGACCGGATCACCACTCATTCCTGGCACTCCGGGTCGTCCTGGCCTGCCCCCCTCCCCTGGATCCCCGGGATAACCTTTCTCTCCCATCAGGATCTCGTCCGGCTTGTTTCCTGGTAATGTCGGAATGATGGAGCCCTTTGGACCTTTGAGACCGGGCAATCCTACTTCTCCCTAAGGATAAACACACAATCATGTCAATTAAAGGTCAATAAAACAGGTCAACTGGACGAATATTTTACATAATTATCAAAGGTTTCACAAAGTTATTCACTGGTGACAAAAACAAACTTGCTTATGCTTCTTTGGTACTGTTTATAAAATAAAGGATATTAACTTACCTAAAATATTCTTGAACTACACAGTGTCATGTATTAACAATATAACATACTGTGTTTTAAAAATGGTGCTAAATTTTATAATGCATAAAAAGTTGATTTTTCTACAGAAGTCCATCTGTAACCATTGTACTTCTACAATCTGACCCTGACCTTTTCACCTTTAGGTGTGTATCTATTGTACACCTGCAATCTGACCCTGACCTTTTCACCTTTAGGTGTATAACTACTGCACACCTGCAATCTGACCCTGACCTTTTCACCTGTAGGTGTATAACTACTGTACACCTGTAATCTGACCCTGACCTTTTCACCTTTCGGTGTATAACTATTGTACACCTGCAATCTGACCCTGACCTTTTCACCTGTAGGTGTATAACTACTGTACACCTGTAATCTGACCCTGACCTTTTCATCTTTCGGTGTATAACTACTGTACACCTGTAATCTGACCCTGACCTTTTCACCTGTAGGTGTATAACTACTGTACACCTGTAATCTGACCCTGACCTTTTCACCTGTAGGTGTATAACTACTGTACACCTGTAATCTGACCCTGACCTTTTCACCTTTAGGTGTATAACTACTGTACACCTGTAATCTGACCCTGACCTTTTCACCTGTAGGTGTATAACTACTGTACACCTGTAATCTGACCCTGACCTTTTCACCTGTAGGTGTATAACTACTGTACACCTGTAATCTGACCCTGACCTTTTCACCTTTCGGTGTATAACTATTGTACACCTGCAATCTGACCCTGACCTTTTCACCTTTAGGTGTATAACTATTGTACACCTGCAATCTGACCCTGACCTTTTCACCTTTCGGTGTATAACTATTGTACACCTGCAATCTGACCCTGACCTTTTCACCTTTCGGTGTATAACTATTGTACACCTGTAATCTGACACTGACCTTTTCACCTTTGGGGGGATTTCTACCTTGGTCTCCCATACTTCCTTTGGGTCCTTTACCTCCTGGAATTCCAGTGGGCCCCTGAAAATTTTAAAGTGGAAAATATACAGTTACTGATAAAATATTAATGAAGAAATCACAACACCTAGCTAGGCTACAATAAGGTCAGAAAAACTACACCATATTGTGAATACCCTTGATACACAAGCATTCTGAGAGAAACATTTAAAATTAAATGGCGTTGTTCCTACCCCATCCCTACTATTATTGAAATAATATTGAAAAAAAAAACATCATTAATATAATATTAAAAGATGCCATTAATATTCATGTCAATACACTGTAAATTTTATTTTGAAAAACATTGGCCAAGGAAAACAGACCACTAAACATGAAAAGTATATCACTAACAAAGGAAGACAAGGTTCTCTCCTTTCATGTTCATTTTATTTCTAAACAAAATCATATAAAATAGTTATTTTTGACTTCTTTTTGCAGGACTTGTCAATTTAACAATAAATGGAATCTCAAGACAAAAGTTATCTCCCTTTATACCATTTTCGTTTAATAATGGCCCATTATTCAAATAATGAGAATAGATATATGCAGATAATATTTATGAATTGCAATTTGATAAGCACTGTAAATTTTGTAAAATTATAGCAAATCATGTATAATATGTTAGACGGTGTGACCGTTAGTGAGGGCGGAGCCATGAAGAGAAAATTGCTACCTTTTATTGTTTAATGACAAATCAGTTAAATTCTGAAATTGTATATCAGTGTCAGAGAATCATAACAAAGAACTCAGTTCTTTAAAAAAAACTTTTCATTCAAATACATGTAATAAATCTAAGAACTAACTGAGATATTTCATCATGAGACAAAGGGTTGTCTAGCCAGAGCACTAAACGTCGAAGAATGTAGTGGGGAAAGAGAGCGGCATGCACTGGACCATTAAGGGATTCAAAGTACCGAGGTCCAAGAAATGTGATACCCCTCGGCCCAACGACACCTCAAACTTTAATGCATGTAACAGTAAACTTGTTCCCAAATATATCCTACAATAATCAACTCATAAACTTTTCTGAGCATCATTTCTTTGTCTTTCACTACTTTTAATTCATATGCTTATTTAACAACACTGATCTGGAAACCTCAAGTCATTTCTCAACTGTTATTACTCCCATTACATTATCATAGTTATGACGTCATCTAAAGTAAGAACAATATTGTCAAGACCAGATCAGAAGACGAATTTGACCTAAAATACAGACAGATGGTCTACGTCCTGGATAAATCTCATCATCAGACCAAATTTGACTGTGTTACTATCACGAAGGTTGAAAATATAACAGCATCACAACTTTTATGAGAAAAAAAATTTGCAACGGATGCATGATTAGGGACATTTATTAGATCCCTGTTGTGATATATCTTTTTAAAGTTTCTTCTTATTTATTTCTTTTTATTTTACATTAATTGGTAACCCATTAATTTAATTATAATGATTATTTTCTTTATTTTAACGAAAAATGTATATTTCACTTTTCAGGGTTTTTTTTTTTTGGCTGGTGTTGTTAAAACAAATCTGATTTAAATAGTCTTTCGAATTTTCTAAATCTAACATTAACACAATCGTTTTGAAAACAGTTATACTTTTTAATTATCTGAAGAAAAAAAACCTCGAAATTAAAAGTAATTTTTCTGGTATCTTTGTCGTTTAAGACTTGGTTAATCATATAATTTCAAAACCAAAACTTGTGAATAGTAGGGTACACTTCTGAGAAGTTTGAATTGAATATTTAACTTTATTGATGTCAAACAAAAATTCTGAATATTTGCTTCATGTTTTTAAAAGTTTTAAAGCACATTTATAAGGATAGAAAATTATATTGATATGCTTGATGTGTATTACATTAACAGCATGCACTGCAACATTGAAGTCATATAACTTCGTGACTGTATATTTACATGCATTTACTGATACATGCAGACTGAACAACTACCTCTCCAGACTGTACACCATACATTGTCTAACTTAGTTTTTCCTAATTTTAGACTTTACAGTATATGTGTAATTCCAATTGTCTAAAAAAATCTTTTCTATATTTTTAAAATTCATATATATCAATTAAGATTTTTGTTTTGATTATTATAGTTAAAGATACTGAAATTTTGTCATTTGAAAAACTTCATAAAATGAAATATTGAATTTTAAAAATCACAACAAAAATGAGACTCAGACTTCCATCTGCTAAATATTTATATATCTATGTACAAGTAGATATTCATAAACAATTTGGATACCTAAAAATTTTTTTTAAAAAATATTCTTCACATTTATTGAGTCCCTATATTTAGACTTTTCACAGGGTATTAAATTTTAAATTTAACTGTTCAAAAAAATTGTACAGTATGTCTAAAAAAAATACTATATTTCTAGCTTGGTCATTGACAATAATCCAAAGACATTGTTATTATTAAATTTTATTAACAAATAAATAAGGATTATTTTCCTTCTACAGTCTAGTGAAAGGCGCCACAAATAGATCCGCTCCTCAATAGTGCAGACGACAGCGCCGCCGGTAGGGAATTTCTAACCAATCAAATGCCGTTATACTTGTGAAGCGCGAACTATAAATAAATCTAAACGTCTAAATCGAAAGTTGGAAGATGGATTTGATTTTAAGTAAAAAACCATTACTACTAATTATCCTTGGATTAAATGGTTTTCACTTTGATGAAAGTCTCATCAACAACGAGAATTTGCGCGTGAATCAAAACGACGCCATTTTACAGGACGCCATATTGGCGACAAGAATCTCAGTTCCATAGGTATTGTAATTGACATATAGTTTACAATAGATTTCTTTTATTTTTCATATACATACGTGTTACCTATAGGGAAAGCTTCGCTCTCACGGGCCCTTCGGGTCCATGAGAGGGCTCCGCCCTCTATTAAATGTGTCATAATTAAAACTGACTGAAGATTTCTTACCCTAGGCCCTGAAGGGCCAAAAGGACCTGGGAGTCCGGGTCGACCTGGAATGCCAGGATCACCCTAAAAATAGAAAGGTTTAAGGTTTAATAAATACGTGTATCAGACATAAACCAGAACAATTATAACAAATTTTAATGGAAATTAGCTCTTATCTTCAAATGAAACCCTATCATAAATCATATTAATGTACTGGCTAAAGATCAAATAGCATAAAGTAACATGTCTGAAATCTGGTTGTTATGGTAACAATACCAGTTGCTATGGTGATGATAGCAGTTGCTATGGTGATGATACTTACACTAGGACCCGTACGCCCTGGATTTCCTGGATCACCTTTAGGACCAAATCCATAAAATCCATCTCCAGGGTTGCCCTGTTGGTCAGAGAGTCAATGTTTGTCAGGAGATACACATATTATAGGTGATCAATTCATTAACAAAATGTTAAGTTGTATATTTATTTATTAAATATTTGAATTTAAGTTGTTGTTTCCATGGCAATCTACCTTGGGTCCGGGTAAACCTGGTATACCCTGAGGTCCGCGATTTCCCGGCAGTCCATCAACTCCAGGGTTACCCTTCTGTCCCTAAAATTTAAAATAATCTTTTTTATTTACCTTAATATTCTGAAACAATGTACTGCCTGATATCAATTCTAATCACCCTAAGTATTATCACAGTTTTTTTCAATTTTATATTTCAATACATAACTTTTTTTAATTAGAAATATTGTACATGTGTATTATTTACAATGTCTAAGCACTATAAAAAATTTCACAAGAAATTAAGCATAATTATAATTTTATGACTTTGTTTTATCAAAACTATGATGGAATATTTTTTTTATATTGTTCAGCTAACTCAATATCTTCTTCAATTATCAAAAATGTTGTCTTTCACTACTGTGTAACAATAGAACTCAAATGATTATTTTTTTGTAATACAATGTAAATTTTATTGCATTCCATAACTAATTACATATTGAATGATTACATAAACATTTGATACATGATTACATTATTACATACCTTTGTCCCATTACATGATTACTAACATATGATACATGATTACATTATTACATACCTTTGTCCCATTACATGATTACTAACATATGATACATGATTACATTATTACATACCTTTGTCCCATTACATGATTACTAACATATGATACATGATTACATACCTTTGTCCCATTACATGATTACTAACATATGATACATGATTACATTATTACATACCTTTGTCCTATTACATTATCTCCTACTTTTGATACATGATTACATTATTACATACCTTTGTCCCATTACATCCAGGGTAACCTTGTGGACCCACTGGGCCTTCCAAGCCTTCATAACCCTAGAAAAGTAAAAAATAAATTTAAACAATTTTACAACCCTCTGATCCCAAAGCAACGAAAACAAACCAATATTAATAAATTTCAAGCATCTAAATAAAAAATCTTGAATAATAATAAAAAAATGTTCTTTTCTTTTCCTGAACAGTGGAATTCACAGATTTAGGCAACATGCAGAGAAATGCATAGCAGATTCTGTTTTTCCCCAATAGTTTCAATAAATGATTCCCATCATAGCAAAGAATTTTTTTGCTTCTTTGAAGAAACCAGATTTAACTTTGTTAAAGTATTAAAATTTATTGTTTAGCAGCGATCAGCTTTTAAAAGAAAGAAAGCAGAAAATATATTTATTTTTATCATTTCATAAATATCAGGTATATAATAATATTTTTATATTAGGCCGCACCAATTTAATTTCTTGTTCATCGGACATTTGAGGGAAAAACGTACGAGCGGGCTAGCGGTTAAATAATAATATTATTACTTTTTTGTAGACAATTTTTTAGGCGGAGCGTGAAAAAATTTGAACTTACAATTATTTTTTTCTGATTTGCAGATTAAAAATACGATAGATAGAGCGGACATTGAACAGAAAATGGCACAAAATTCTAATGGTGCGGGAAATTTAAATTAATATTATTTGTAAAGTTCTGTTTAAATACGAGCACGCGGGTCCGACGAACAAGAAATTTTATTGGTGTGGCCATATGAAAAATAATACAGTTACAAACTGTAATAACTAGGGATGTCAACGAGTACCCGGTTAACCAATATTAATAAATTTCAAGCATCGAATACCAAAATCGGTACTCGGTTACTCGGATGTATATTTTTAAATATTTCTAAGCTTATTTATTAATGCATTAAAACATCGGTTTTAAAACGTAAAATGTTCATTGCACTTGTAAATCAGTAATTAGGGTTTCCTGCGCCTCTAAATGACTGTTATCGCTTGTGGCAGTGTTTATACAGTAATTACCGTGACCAAGCACCTGTTACCTGGCTTTTTTCACCTTCGAGTCTTCTACCCCTATGTTTTGTTTGCTTTAATTTTTTGTTTTCATTGAACATCGTGTAAGGTTAGATAATCTTGTCAATTCTCCAATAAGCCGTAAATTCTCGGGGAAAGAGACAGATGATATTGCACGTGCGATTGTTGATATGGATGCGTTTGATTACATGCCAATTAATGCAAATGGTTGAAGGCAAAGGATTTAAAAATCTGATGTCCATCGTTGCACCAAACTATTACATACCGTCTCGTAATTTTTTAAAATCTAGGATCGAAAAGTGTACGAAGATCGTATATCCGCTCTGTCATAGGATAACTTGATCAAGTTGATATTGTGATCACTTGGACGTCAAAAGCAACCAAAGAGTTACATTACGATTAGGGAACAGATTATTTTTTTTAAAACAAAACCACTTTGAACCATTTATGATTTTATTTCTCGTATTTATCTGATAAATAAATTGAACTTTACAAAATTGTTAGATTAAAATTTTGTCGGGCACAAAGTGGGCATAATTGTTATAACACATTTACAGGTAAACCTCCCATCAGACCATGTTGTTTTATTTCTACAAGAGTTTGCAATGTTTTACAGTTATCAATCAACTTCATATTTATTTAGACTTTTAAACTGTAGAAACAACGAGTAACCGAGTATTAAAAATGAACCGATTTGACATCCCTAGTAATAACAGAACTTGGGTACAAAAAGACTTAAAATACTTTAAAATGTCAGAGTCATATATGATACAATCATGACAAAGACAAGAGCCATTTATTCTGAGTCATTTACAATCACAAGAGATGACAATTAAGGTGCTCTTTCAGCAAGAACAAAGGGAGGTAATGTACTTAATATAAAGGGGAGGTAACTCTGCTCACGTGGAGAAATAACAAGAGTATAATTACACTCTGAGTCATTAATTGGCACAAATAGAGATATAAGACATATAGTTGTGATTCACAGAGAAGTTTGACAGTGACTAGATTGAGTAGAACATGTAAAATGGTGACTTACTGGTACACCTGGCACACCATTCATTCCTTGAGGACCCATGTCACCCTGAAGAAGAAAAAAAAATCATAGCAAATATCTGTCAGCAGCATGAAATCTAAATATATTATTACAATATTCTTAAGTACAGTCATTATTGATTCAAATTCAAAACATATTTAAAAGGAAATTCCCATTCTAATTATAAAAATATATGCTTACCCTTTTTCCTCTCTCTCCACGACCTCCAGGTTCTCCTATGCCACCCTTCAAACCCGGTACCCCTTGTGGACCCTCACGTCCTATAAATCCAGGTAACCCTTGGGAGCCTCTCAGTCCAGGTAAACCAGGTGCTCCCTGAAATATAAAATGTGTCTTTTTCCTCAACTCTGACAATGTCAGACAATTTTGATTATTTGCTAACTTAATAATTCTTGAATGTGTCAAATTAAAATAAAAATGTGTTCAGATTTCTTACCCTGACTCCCTTTTGTCCAGCACACAAACATACTGTAGAGCTACAGCCCTTGCAGGCCTACAGAAAAAAAAATTAAAATTCATAATTAAAAACTAAGAAATGAATTTAAAAAATGGCAAGAAATCAGTAGAATAATACAAGGATACATTTGAAGTTGGCTTGATTGGGCCCCACTTCTTGTGGTTATATGATTGGGTCCCAATCTTTGTGACTCTGTGGTTGACCCCAGTTCTTGTGACTCCATATGATTGGGTCCTAGTTCTTGTGGCTATATGACTGGGCCCTAGTCCTTTTGGCTATATCAATGGGCCCTAGTTCTTGTGGCCCAATATGATTAGACCCCAGTCCTTGTGGCCCCATATGACTTGGCCCCAGTCCTTGCATGTGGCTAAATCATTGGGCCTTAGTTCATATGGCTATAAGAATGGATCCCAATTCTTCTTGCTATATCATTGGGCCTCAGTTCTTGTGGCCCCATATGATTGGGCCCCAGTGCTTATATGGCCCAAAATGATTGGGTCCCATTCCTTGAAACCCTATACCTTTGGGTCCTAGTCCTTGTGGCCCCATATGATTGGGTCCGATTCCTTGTGGCTATATCATTAGGCCTCAGTCTTTGTGGCTGTAAATTTGCCCCCCCCCCTTTCACAAAATAATAGGCATGTATAGAATAATCTAATATAACTTTTTATCCTAGCAATAAATGGAAAACAATACATCAAATTAAAAGTCAAAATAAAAACATCATGAATTAATGTAGATTCAAATTTATCAAAATGTGACACCTAAATTGCTTTCAATCTGGTCAATAAACACAATAAACAGAGTCAATATTTTGCATATACATGTATACAGGAAAGAAATTAAGCCATAGTTGTCAAATTCAAGAGCACCCCCAAAATTGTATAGATTCAAATTTTGTTCTTTACCCAGATATAAGTTTTAAAAATTATGACTTATGGCTCATACTTATTTTATTGAGTTGGAAATTAAAATTAAGCTTATGCTTCTTCATATTTAATGACCTTATCCTGATTTCTTCTGTGGGTAAGTGTTCAAAGGGAATAAGGGAGGTGGGGGGGGGGGGGGTTAAAAATATCCCATTCATCATGTTCATATAGTTCAATACTAACTTCTTTCCAAATCATAATACAAGAGAATATTTTTAATGGTTCAGATGTAAAATTTATTGTTATTTTCAAAATATATAAATAAATAAATTCAAATCACAGACTAAATGAAGTATTTTTCTTATTTTTTATTTTTTAATAATGTAAAAAGTTTTTATCAATATATCAATGAATACTTTGAAAATCATATTCACAAGGGAAGGAATGCGCTCGGTAGAGGGTGTTTGTGTACACAACACAAAAAGGCTACAGATACATATTTATACAAAACAAAATTAATACAAAGATACAAGATATATTCAAAAGAAAAATACATCTCGGATATACAATGTACACTCTTCGGTAAATCCGCCGCGCGAACATAAAGGTTTTATAGCAAGCACCTATTCCAGGCCGCACATGGATGAGAATAATTAACCGGAATTTTACCGGATATTAATTGAGTAAAAATTTCAATAGTTAATAGATTTCAATTATATCATTAAAATTTTTGAAGAAAATAAAGTTTTGGGGCATTCAACGAAAACTGCGCCTTTCCCCCCCACCTCAGCAATCGTCGCGATAAAAGCGATCGCGCGACATTAGATTTAGAAACAGACTATACTTACGGCTCCAAGAGACAGATCCAAAGTGATTCCTAAAACCACCAAGAATAAAATCACATCCCGTGGACTCATATCTCCTAACACCGTCCCCTTGGTCCCACAAAGAGGGACTGTCCTATCAACTTGGCTCTTCGGTCACCAATATGTCGCTCTTTGAAAAAAGTTTCATAGAAGTTTAGCAGGACTTCGTGACCATCTTCCTGCAATTCTTGACTTCACGGCGGAGTTCGGTAGCAGCCGTCAGAATCACCACGATCCGCCCACTTTCAGACGAAAAAATCCCAAGTTTCCAATTACTTAACTATTGCAACTAAAGCACTATTATTCTTTTTGTGACTCACAGAACATTTTTGTCAAGGGTTTGCTTTTGTTGAACAATTCATAACGGACTGTCTGACCACAAAATATCTGAACTGTCGGTGCACTTCTTTTTCTGCGCGGAAGCGTTCGTAAGAGGTTGCTATGTCTCACAAGAGTTTCCAAAATTCTTGGATGTCAATCAATGCAAATTTTAGCATGAATTCCCCCAAAATCCTACTCTACGTTAGGAGAATATGTTCTCTGTAGATATCCAATGTCCCAGAAATGTAATTGCCAATCGGTCGTTACTTTATTTCATAAGCGTGCATACAGATTTGCCAGCTGAGGTGATATAACACCAGGTGGGATTATCTTTCGTGTTAATCCGATTTACAGACAGATTATTATGCATGCGTCTTATCATCAGCATCCCATCGTAAAAGAATAAAATCCCCACTTATCTACCCCAAGACCCTTATCTTTGAGCAACAGAAAATTTTCTCTGGTTTTGTAAAACAGACAAGCATTGTTTTATTAAGCTTGGTGGTATTCGAGTCATTTCCGCGAACATTTAAATGCATTATTTTTCAACGTGAGAAATATTTACAAATTCTCCCAAACCCACGAGTCACTGAAATGTGATATGCAAGCTCCGCCTCCTCTCTCCAAATCGGAATCTTTGGCATTTCTTGGAGATTGTCTTCATCCGAAGAGAACGGAGTTGGAGGATCGTAGTGTCACCACTCTGATGTTGTTGAGGACATTTTAACAGATTCGGAGAGGAGAACTGACCAACTCTAGCTGAGTCCCTCTCAGCTGTGGAGGATAGAGCGGCGGAACGGCCGTTCTGTGACCAAAGATACGACGTCAGTGACAAAATCTGCCGATGCCATCAGAACGCAAGAACTGTAGTTGTGCGCCGTGCGCCGTCAGACAGGACGGAGTTAACCAAAGTGCTTTCAAATCATTTAGAATCTCTAGAGCCATGAGGTCATGGTGAGTACTGCTTTTCTTTCATTACGTTATTTCAAGTAATAGAATTTTTAATGAAAATAATTTTTAAAACATGAATTTCTTGCCAGATTTGCTTTTTTTGCAAGCTGCTTCTAAGGAGTCGAATCACCTATAGTCTGTTTCATTTTTCTTGTTGCAGGCTCCTACTCTGTTTAGCTACCTTATATTTATCAAGCACCGTTCAAGTATACGCTGTAAGTTAATTTTTATTTAATTTTCCTTATTTTAAATTTTTTTTAACGCAATTTTATTTTAAAAACTTAACAACATGTGTATTATATGTATAAAATCAGATCATAGTATTTTTTGGAGAGAAAGAGAGAGAGACAGAAAGAGAGAGAGAGAGAGAGATTTGATGATTTTAATTTGGAGTATCCTTTTAATAATTTTAATTTCTACAGATTCACCTATTGGGTTTTTTTTGGACAAACTTGCCATAAAAATCTATTGGTGATTAGAATCCTCTATTGGTGATTTCTCCCCATTTAAAATTGTTTTAGGGGAAATGGAATATTAGGACTGGATTAATTTAAACAGCTTTACCAAGAACCACTGTTTCAAAATTGTATATACTGTAAAACAAGTGTGAAGCAAACATTCTTCAAGGGAATATCTGGGTAAAAGTCACTTTTTATCACCAAGATGTTCAAACTGTCATGTTGTAAATTTTGAATTTACCGGGTGGCAGTAAATACAAAATTTACAACATGACAACTTGTAAATTTTGTATTTACTGCCACCCGGTAAATTCAAAATTTACAACATGACATAAAACTAACAAAATATCATCTGCATATAACACTTTACATGTGTAAAAATAATCATATAATTTTTGGCTTTCCAAGCAATTTCTCACATTCAGTTTTTATTATTTTGACATAATGTTTGAGCTTAGTAAGTTTTATTTCATTTTGAAATTTCTTTTGAGTGTGATCTTAACTCTGGATCTAGTTGGGGCATACAGGTTCTTTTTCACCAAATTATACAAAGGCAATAACATTTTCAAAAGCTCCAAAATTCTGAGGAGAATTCATAAGTCGAGTTTTTGCAGTGCTTCTTGACTGCTAATTTATAAACATGCTCTTACATAACTACTACTATCAACACACACTTTTTAACTTTAAATGACTGTGCTTATTTAAAGTTGCCCTAATCAATTAAGGAGAACAAATGTGCAAAATTGTTAACACATTTTTGAGAATAATTAATTATCATGTTAAATGTTTAATATTGCAATGTATTTTTTCGCAAAGATGCGAAATCATTGTGTGCATCATCACATTAAAACACATGAGCATCATTACATTAAGCTTACATTATCATACACTGTAACATGCTTGTTAAATTCATTGCCAATTTGCTTCATTCAACTCAATAAGGAGTTTTCAACTATATTTTCTTGTTAAGAAGCGCAGTTGGATGTATGTGCACATTTTAGCCCACAGGCATCTCACTTGGTATGCCTGTTCCTAAGTTTTCCAAGAAACCTTATCCATGATGTAAATATGACTTCATACATACTAGATTGTGATTAGACATATTACATATCATGTTTTTGGTCATTATTTTTGTTAAAAAAAACATTCTGATGGCCCACACAAGTAATTCCAAGTTGGTCACCCAAGTGGCACAGTGGTTAGTTGTTCTTTTACATTGTGGGTTTGAATCCACTGGGGGGGGGGTATGGTCCTTTGGATGAGATTGTATAAGCCAAAGACCTGTGTTGCAGAAGGTGTTGACATGAAAAAGATCCCTTACTGCTCAAAGGTGGCAAATGTTGAGTCTCGATATGAGTGAAAAATTCTAAAAGGAATGATAAACATATTACACTATAAAAAAAACTCCAAGGTTGTCTTTACACTAAGTAAATGCTTGAATTTCTGACTGACAATTCATGTATCTATCTTAGTTTTTGGAGATTAAGTCATCCAACAATATTTTGGAATTCCCATGGGCACTAATTGCACTGTTATGAGCAGACCTATTTTTGAATTCTTATTGATGATGAAGAATGTATTCAAAAACTTGAACATGAAAAGGAGAAGTTTCTTGCTATAGCCTACATTTCAACATTTAAATATATTGATGTTTTATCAATTTAAAATATTCATTTTCATTCTTATGTTGATATAGTATAGAGTATATCCCATTGAACTCAAAATAAAAGACACCACAGAGTCAGACATATCTGTTTCATATCTGAAAAAAGACATAAGCCAATGGCAACCTTAAAAGATTGACTGATTGACTGTATATTTTTTTTAACGTCCGAGAATTTTTCACTCATACACAGCGCTGCCAACATTCTGAAATGAAAAATAGTAAGTCGTGGTCCAGGGACCGTCTAGGCCCCCTGTCGCTGAAGATGTTTTGTAAATGGACGTGTAATTGGAGCAATTTGAGGCACGTTCTGTTTCCATTTTGTTTACTTTAAAACACTGACATGAATGTGATCGGCCATCGTTGTAAGGATTACGAATATTTAATTATAATAGTAGAAACTGTAGATGGCAAGTTATGAAATTTCTGGTACTATAAACTTTGATCGAGAAAAACCGAAATCAGAAAAATATAGATAGGAATTGTAAGGTGTATTTTGGATGCTAATTTTGTAAGACTTAATGCTGGTGAAGGGCTTCAAATTAAGACCTATACTCGGCACTCAGAGCCATTGAGCAGTGAGGGTTCTTTATTGTGCCAACGCCTACCATGACATGGGACCTACGTTTTTAAGGACATATCCGAAAGACCCATGACTTTCACTTCTTGTGCAGAGCGCTTGGCAAAGGAACAGTCACTACCTATGACACAACGCCATGAACGGGAATCGAACCCGGGCCTCCCGATCCAACCTTAAAAGAAAACTTTATGATGATAGCAATGATTTCAATTTTACCATCAATTTCCCTTCTTACAGTATGTGTACATAAATTGGCATATCCCGAATTTAGTGCAATCACTGAGTATGGCCTTGACGGCATAATCATGAATTAGCACTAAACATGTTTCTACCATGTACGTTATTAATAAATGATTTCTAAGCGGTATTTTATGAATTAGCGCAATCTTGTCCATGCCACAGCGGCTAAAATATAAGCCCACTTTTTTAAGTACATGCACATATATTATACCCCCACTCAGTGGTACCCCTGCCTTCCATATGATTATAATGGCAAAGTACATGTTTTTCTCTGAGAGACCTGAAATATTAATTAAGTGTCAGATCAAAAAGTAAAAAAGGAGGTTTACAATGGCATCATGTTATAAAGAATATGTGGAAGTATCATTAAATTTTATTAATTGGTATAGGCGGAGTTATGGATAAGAGATGAGAACCCTTCAATATTATAGAAAGAATGGCAGTGTCCATGTTTTGCCATGGGAAACCCAAAATATGTGTTGTATCAAAAAGTAGAATAAGAGGTCACAATGGCACTATGTAACAAAGATTCTGTGAAAAGTCTCATTAAATTTCATTCAGTGGAATAAGAGTTGTTTTGAATGTGAAGAGAGAATGAGATGGTTACCCCAAAGCGTAAAAGATGGATGGAAAGACTTACAGACGGATGGACATCTCAATCAATATATACCCTCCCACTTTTCAAGCAAGATTCAATATAAATTGATAATACAATAATATCAATAGTGCTGTTTTAAGTCAACATTTCATAATGCCTATGGTCAATACAATAAATTTGTTAGCAAATACAATCTCCTGACTTTTTTCATACAAATTGTTAGGCCCTTATTTCCACATTGAATAATCTATGGATTTTTCTATTTGCCTGATCATGACAAGCACAAAGCAAGTGTGACCAGTTGACAGGAGAAGCTTTCTACTCCATGGCACCTGATTTCTCATTTGATGTTTTAGGGGGACTTTTGAATTTGATTACTGTTTATTATCTACAGCCAGTACATACTTCACATATCCTTAGAAAATAGCAAATTTATGGTTTCTGGTGACCATAAAGATTCTGAAATGGGATCAGTTTGTCTAAGTTTCATATCAAGAAAATATTTAAATAATATACATCGACATATTTAATGGTCATTTATGGCATTAGATCCATCGAATATCAATAATTAAATACTGATAACTGATATACTCTAATGGAGGTGAATGATTTCTCTGCAACTTGTCCTTTAATATCGTTTTACTAACAGCCTGACAGTTTACTTGATAGGGCGTGCTAAAATTTTGTATGCTGATTATCGTTTTTACTCATCGATTGGATGTTTGATTTCAACAGAATCACTAATACTTAAATTTGCATATGAAACACAGAACACAGCAATACCACTGACAATACTGACCAATTGCGTTGAATAAACAACAATTACATGTGAACAGACAAAGCAAGTTTTACTTCCTATAATGTTGATATTGATAGAGCTACGTACATAGTACAACATAAGCAGAGTAG